AACACACAATCACAAACACACAATCACAATCACACAATCACAAACACAACCACAACACACAACAACAAACACAACCACAAACACACAATCACAAACACACAACCACAAACACAACACCACAAACACAACAACAAACACACAACCACAAACACACAACCACAAACACACAACCGTAAACACAACCACAAACACACAACCACAAACACAACCACAAACACACAACCACAAACACAACCACAAACACGCAACCACAAACACACAACAACAAACACACAATCACAAAGACACAACCACAACCACAACTACAAACACACAATCACAAAGACACAACCGCAACCACAACCACAACTACAAACACACAGTCACAACCACTACCAGTACCACAAACACAATCACAAACACACAGCCACAAGCACAACCACAAACACAATCACAAACACACAATCACAAACACACAGCCACAAACACACAATCACAAACACAACCACAACCACAACACACCACACACCACACAACCGCAACCACAACACACAACCACAGCACACAACCCGAGGACCCACAAGCAAAATCGAGAACTACAATATTCACGACCATGGCAACATGCTCCTCACTATGGCATCAAGACAAATGATTGAAAATGTCATGGTGGGGATCACTTGAAGTAAAGTATTTTTTTTCGGTCGTGGTAGGAACAAGTGCATCGCTAGTGGTAACAAGTGCCTTACTAGTAGTAACAAGAAGCTAGTAGTAACAGGTGCCACGCTAGTAGTAACAGGTGCCACGCTAGTAGTAACAGGTGCCTCGTGAATACCAACGTTATCGACCAGGAAGCGGCCAGGAAGCCCGGCCTGTCTAGCGCCGTGTCGCGCCGTGTCGAGCGCGAATGTCGAGTTCGGTCGTGAATGTCGTCAAGTCGTGAGTCGTGAGCGTTCCATTGGACGCAAGTTGTTTAGACGCCTGGGTTCCTAGTAGTAATGCCCTTTGCTCCTAGTAGCGTCCCTGCTCCTAGTAGTAAGGCCGGGAGCCCCTAATAGCATTCTTGCTCCTAGTAGCGATGCCAGGAACCCCTTTAGGTAGCTTCTTATGTATGTCGTTCGCAGAGTCTGCCACTTGGAAGCCCAGTCTGCCAGTGGTTTCAGAGCTTCGATGGGATGGCGCTACCCCCTTTGGGAGGTTTATATCCCAGACACTCCATGTATGCATATGTATGCCATGCCAATCAGTTGGGGTGGTTGAAAGGGGGTCAATGGGGCGGCAGTCCTATGGCAGTCCCATTAGTTGTGTCTGGGTATATGAACCCCATATCAAAGACAGGGTGCCAGTACCCATCGAACCTCTGAAACCACGTACAGCTCGCGTGGTGTGTCCACTGGAGTTCCAATACGGTACCGGGGTGGGGTAGTGACCCCTTGCATTGGCGACCCCAACACGTCGGTGTTGGTATGTGGTTTGTGGGGCAGGTTTCGTTCTCCCAGCACTGGTCCGGTCCAGTCCAACTCGCTGCTGTTTGGTAGTCATCAGTCATAGCTGCTGTTTCTGGTCGACTAGGACTTCAGATTTGGGGGGTCACCGTTCGGACATGGCACGCGATTAATTGATCAACAATGATCCACATAGATGCCTCCTCCATCCTCCTCCTTCAAACCGATGTTCCATATTATACATATGTGCGCGTACTCGTTTTCATGCTGTGCCATTTGTCCTGTCTTTCCTTTTGCCCTTTTGTGACCGGTTTCGTTTTCTTTTTTTAAAGCGGTTTCCACACCGGCAGTTCACACGTTGCGTCCCGTCATCAGATGAACAAAATAGAATGTTCATTCTATTCTACGCCACAAGCTCTTCCAGCAGCTCTTGGGCGCAGGTTGGTAGGTAGTGGGAGTATACATCCCCCTCAAAAAGGTAGGTGTGATGTTACCTTCGACGCCAGGAGAGGGCCTGGCGACGACGGACCCGAGACTGGCGCCGTGATCTTTTGGCTGAACGCTTGCTGGACACTTAGGAACTACGTCGGGGTTTCCATGGGTTTCCAGTCAGGTTTCCAGTCGGGTTTCCAGTGGTTCCACCGATCTTCTGGGAAGATCGGAATGACCAGCGACCACCGTGGTGTTCTCGGTTGGAACGTCGACCATGGACCTGGTGCCGGGGGAAGGACAATGACTCCGACTGGATCCGACTGGCCAGAGAAAACCTTCAACGACCACAGCCGACAGCCCCGCACACGAATCCTACAGTGTACGGGGACCCAGCCCATTGGTCGGATTTACATGCATGTTTGTTCTATTAAAAATGCACTTCACCAAACAGGATCAAACATGGCGTTTATGGTTGTTGATCGTCAAACTGTGCATTCTTAACTATGTATACAGCTTGTATATGTTTGTATGTTCAAGCCGCAATCCGACTCAAATGTCTCGAGGGTGGCTTGGCATGTGAGAGATTATAAACCCCCCATGCAAGAAACGGAAGCATGCTCAATCCCCTGTAAAACGATGAGGAAGAACAACAACAATAACGTCAAAAGTGGTATGGGGAAAAGTAAAGTTTTTTTTACACGACCTCATGTGTTTTACTCTTCAATCCCTAGCTGGACATGTTTATCTCAATCGGCCGTATTTGGTGTCTGGGGGGATAATTAAATCAAACTAAACATCATAAATCATCATAAATCACATGTCCATCATCATCTAAATTGATTATTTGTAAAAGTCCCAGTCCCAATCCGGACGCTTAGCTCAAAAGCTCAAACCAACAGACGCCGTTTTTTTCCCGCTCTTAGGTGTTCAGGACAACGGGCCTGGAACACCGTCATGGGACGCTCTCTGCTGCTGCTTTGGCGACGAAGGATTCGCAGGACGCGGTGACGTATTGGGTGACGTATTTGGTGTGGAATCTATTTAGTTTTTTCAGGCCCGTTCCTATGAACATAACATTCGGACCTATATATGTTGTGTTTTTTTCTTCAGTTCGTTCTTTTCTCAAGGACCACTCAGCAGCAACTCTCCAATTCTTTCTAAGATTGGGAGGTCTCGCTGGCTGCGAGTGGCCTTCATGCATGAGAGCAAGATCTTGATCTGCGGCAGGTCGAGCGGCGCCGTGGTTCATGCCAGTTCTGGCGGGATGGTTGGTGTCATTCACAGGATCCCATCAGCACTGGCTCATGAGAATCAGGACTTAATCGTATTAGTCCGATCCGTATTTGACCGTTCCCTGTCGTATTGACTTGTTCTGTGACATGTTCCATATTCATCCATGTTCCACATCCTTGAGGACGACTACAACCTCAACATTTCGAGAAATTTCGGTTGTTGTTGCTAACTTAAAAGCGTTTTTGGCCGAGCTGTAGTAGTCTGTAGTGGTGCTGATCGGGTCAATGTTTGTTCTTTTTCTATCCAGACCAGCCGGGGGGTTTGGTGTCGAAAGGACTGTGCCAACGGCCAGAGTTAATCCACTAGAACCTCTTCAGATGGGTATAAACGAGTCCTCAGAAAAGTGCTGGAGGATTCTTCAACACAAGGGTGGGTTCCCAGTGCGCAGACTTGCTTTGCCCAGTTCCATCTCTTTGAAGCATGTTTAAAGAGCGGGCCGTTGTGATGGCAACCTTTGAACCTTCGACGCACTGTCCTTCCGAACCCCCAACAGTAGCCATGGATAGTGTTCCAGCGGTCCATTTTCCACGATGTTCCAATTTGGATTTGTGAGTTTCTAAAGGACTCGAAGCACCAACGGAACACGCAGATTTTGTTGTGTAGAATGTTGGCTGGGAGTTAAGGAGAAGCATTAGATTGAACATTGTGACAAATCGTCATATTCTTTGATCTCCTGGATTGGGCGGGAGAGCAACTCAGAGCTTTCACCAGGCGTGCGAGTTGCCCTACCAATTGGGCTACACACCATTGTGGTATATAATCACCGCAATATTCAATATTCATGACATGCGATGAACTGGTGGCTTATATCATTGAACTCTTTTGTCTAACGAACCTCTCCGATCCCTCTGATCTCGGCAGGGCTGCCGTGTACGTGCCAATCTTTGGCAGAAGAATATCGCTTACTAGCTATCAGCATCCACAGTTTCTGGTAATGGCATCATCAAAAATCGCTCGTGGGCGGGCAGAGTTTGCTCTCATGGACTGATGGACACACCTGTAGCTGCCAAGTAGGGGCAGTTGGGTGCTGTAGCGGCCTTCCTCAGATATCAAATTGAAACACCGACAACGCAAGCAGCGGAATAGATGCAATTTGCACTTTGCCTCATTAAACGATAAAAGTATCCTTTATGGAGTCCTTTATGGTTCTGGAAACTACTACTTGGGAGGTTTCTGCTGATACACAAAACAAGATGATTTGTGTGTAGGGAAGCACTTTTTCTGCAAGTGTTTCTGGCACAAAACAAACAATATATATAATATAGCATATATATATATTTATAATATATTGCCCAGGCACACAAGCCATAAGGCACACACCCAAGCCAATGGCCTTTGCAATGGCATGGATGTGTACTGTAGATTGTGGGAGGACCAGCAAAGACCCTTTTTAACATCGCTCACTGCACCTTTTTGTTTCTTCTCGACTGGGCAGCCGTTGTGGCACGCTGTGACAAGCAGACATATCAGTTGCAAATGACCTACACTCCAAGTCATGAACATGGTTTCGTGGATGGCACCAGCTGGGACTGTCTTTCGGACAACTCATGGTTATCCGAAATCATATGAATCATGGCCAGGCCATCCACCTAACTGACCTAACTATGATTCCAGGGAGTGCTTCATGTCAATTTGTTGTCAAAGCGTCTCACCTTGGCCCCTCAAAACGGTCCGCGCATGGAGCAGTTCCCTGTGCACCAGATTAATAGAGTCAGGGCCTTTGCACAAGCACCAAGAGGGAAAGTCAGGATTCTCACTCAAAAGACTATCACATCAATGCTACGTACGAATCAATGCGAAGTTGAGACTTGCATTATTTCATTTCTCAGGCAGACGGGTCATGTTTTGTACGTTTTGGGGCGGACACGCAGAGCTGATGGAGCTGCCACGAACACTGCCTTCGCGATGGCAGAGGACGGGCATTTTTGACCTCTGAAAGATACACGGGCATTTTTAATAAGCAAAACCACCCACAATACGCCAAATGCCGCCGGAATGACGCGTTTGTTTCATCTACCGGAGAAAGGCCGCAGGCCGATTTCTTGGCATGAGGCATGAGCCGAAAGCATTCGAGCTCCTGCATTCGAAGGGTTTTTCGGAGTCAATGAACCTTGGGACGAAGCGACTTGGGAACCGACGAGTCGACCTTTGTTCAGAGATGGAGACCAGCTTCCGCCAAGCAAATGCTGAAAACGACGCGCCGAAAAAAACATTGTTTTGAGAGCGGGCCGCCGTGGGGTCTGTGTTTTGGTTCTCCGTAAACTTATAGTTTGAATTTTCAAGTGGCAGCCCCTTCTGTTTGTTTTTGTGTTCCCCCTTCTTGAGAACCGCCTTGACAAATAGGCGGCCCAGATGTTTCCTCTTTGACGAACCCCGACTCCTCTAAATTGGCGAACACAGGGATTTGGGGGGGCATGGGACCTGGGAGGTGTTTCCTTTCGATTTAGGTTGCAGAAGCGATCTGAGATGATCTGAGTATTGTTTGTCTATTGTCATCAGCTCAGACCTATGACACATTATAGTAAGATCCAACGGCAACAAGAGCAATATCAGCACAACATCGGCATGTTGATGTATAATATATATATATACACACATATTTATGCTTTCATGGTAATTTGATGTAATTTGCAACATCATCATCTCAAGATGCGATGATCAACCATTTGAACCGCTTGTGGTATAGATCGGACTGAGGGTATACACTCCCTGACAAATCATCATGCAAGTGGATGGCATGGCCCCGTGCATTGTCTGACCATGTTCCGAATACCATGCACGGGAGTGTAACTAGAGCAAATCATCCACAAATCCAAGGCAGACAGCCACCAAATGCCACCAATTTCCTTGGACAAGTCATGACGCAAGTCCTTGACATCAAGTCATGTTCCCCTTGGTCCGATCATCATTGCTCACTTTTCGAACCGCAGAAGCCAGGATCGGCCCAGTGCTGACCGTGACTGGACGCGAGCCAAGGAAGAGCGTCGCTGGACGGAATGAAGAGGGTGACGGGTGTGGATGGTCTTGGGGAGAGGGTGCGCCTCGTATTTGATTCGTTCATAGGAAGGTGCTTCAGTCGCTCTCAATATTGGCCGTATTTTCCCGGTTCCCTCTTACTCTCCTGACCTGTTCTGGTTGTTCGGGCTCCAAGCGAACGCGTGCATCGCTGTGTGCCATGCCGAAGCTCTTGGTGCCCACAGACTACGTGGATCATGAAGTGGCAAAGCTCAGGCGCGAGGTCATAGAGTGGAAGAACCAGGTGAAAAATGAGCTTCAAGAGCTGCGACGCTCGGTTTCAGAGACTTCGGACATCTGGGACTTGCGCAGTCTGAAGCAGATGCCGAGCTTGGTTGCGGCTTCGCAGGTGTGTTTACTAACTCTCGTTCCTTTGACAGTTCTTTGCAGGGCTCCCAGGCAGTTTCAAATGAATGTTTTCGCATGGGAAATTCACCAAGCTTTGTGATGCTTCGCCCCCAGATGAATCGATCGAAGTCCCTGCTGCACGCCCAGGATGCATGCAGCAGGGAGGCGATGGGAACGAAGCCACCACCGCACCCGTCCGAGTGGATGTGGATGAGCTTCTGGAAGGTGCAGATGCAGCAGATTCAGCAGGTGCAGCAGATTCAGCAGATGCAGATGAGGATGTGCAGGACACAGATATGGAGGCAGGAGGGATCAGGGGGGATGAGGAGGGGGAGGTCCAGTAAGCTATGGAAAGCCGCGTTATCCTTTGGTGTTTCTCTTCAGGAGATGATTTGCTTTGACCGAAAGAGTGCTTGGAGCATTCCTTTGGTGCTTTCGAAGCACAATTTCCTGGAGAGCATCTTTGGGGCCTTCCTGATCATCATGAATGCCACCATGCAGGTCCTGTTCACAGTCATCATCATGTCTCCGGACTTCTTGGGAGAGGGCCTTTCCGTGCAGGATGCGCGCACCTGGCGTCTCAGGTTCGCGCACGATCTCGATTTCGTTGGCCTGGACCAGAGGAATTTGGCTTCGATCGTATGCGACGAGGACGGTGCCTTGATCTTCTCGACAGCTCAAGTGGCTCAGCTGGTGGATATCAACAACTACTTGGGACTTGACAAGTTGTCCTTTGAGCTGCCCAATTTCCAGTCTCTCGGCACATCCTTTTGGTCCTATGGGCCATATGTCGCTACAGCCACTTGCTGGGCTCACCAAGTCAAACCAAATGTGAGTCGTTTTGACATGTTTCCTGGGCAATGGACATGCACATGCCGTTTCTGCAGATTTAAAGACTAAGAACTATTTGCTGCCTGCCACCTGTGAGGCCTGGCATGTTGCTCGCAGTGCTTTGCATCCTTCTCTGGAACATTTGCATCTTTGCCGAGCTGCGGAGCGTGTGGTATGTTCTGAGAGGCGTCTTGTTGAGCGCTGGGGCATCAACATCGTCGTTGAAAGGCTTCTAGGTGAGATCACACCAACTCGACTCGACTGTTCTTTTTTCTGAAGTAAAAGCAGGTGAGAAGGTGAGTTTTGAATCCAACGAATTCGTGTTTATCTCTAGGACAAGCCATCAGGAGAGAGAGAGAGAGAGAACTGCGAGCCCGTCCACGTGAAATCGTTGTTGAGTTGTCCTGTAACCTAGACACTTTTCTTCTTTGAAAATCCCTTGAGCAGCTGCCCTTTGCTTCAATTATGTTGCATCCAGCTCAGGCTTGTCGTGGCAGCGGATCTCGATCATGACACTCGTGTGTGTGGGGCGTGCAGTGGTAGCGGGTGCCCTGCTGATCTCAGGCACCATCTGGCTGGGCAACACAACATCCATTACGGAGCTCATGTTGAACTCGGTTGCCCTAGAGGCGCCCCGAGAACAGCGAAGAATAAGTTCAGCAAGGGTCTATCGGAATTGATTACCATTCGACCATGTGTTTCTCCAATAGACTTCGAAAGAATCTCTTGTGTTGCAAGCTGATCGCCTATGGACGCTGTTTCTCTCACCGTCAGGATCATCGATCCCGGTCCATCCCATGGGTCGCTCCTCTTGCGTTTCTTCTCTTTGTGTTCCATGTTTTTTCATGTTTTCCCTTTTTCTCCTCTTCGTTTTGGGACCCTCCTCTTGGCTAGTTCCTGCATAGCTTCCTCCTCTTGGGTCGTTGTTGGTCTTGACGAGGCTGTCCTCCACATTGACGAGTTTATATGTCGGGCTCTGGTGCCAACCAGCCTGCAGCAGAAGATCAAGAGGCTGCCGCCAATGCAAGTGAGGAGGAGCCGACGCTGGCCGAGTGTCGAAAATGTTCTCCTCGCTTGTATGCTCGCGGCTGCGCTTTTGGTGCCCTACATGATTGTGCTTGCGCCCCTCAGAGCGACCATGCTCTCCGTGAAGAGAGAGATGTGTGGAGGGCTTGTTGATTTTGTCATCACTGGGACGTCAGGCCAGATGTATACGGCATTGTCTGCGAGCGCAGGGGCAGTGACCTCTGCAGAAGTCAGAAATGCGGAGCTCGCAGTTCACGAAATTCTTTCTGGCGAAGCCACAAAGAATGGGAGACCAAAGTATTCAATCTGGGAGGGGGGGTCATTCGGATTATTGGTTGCTCGCAGAAATCAGGTATACCCAGATTTCAAGAAAGAGTTCTACGTTTGTCGTGAGAATGACCGTGACAATAACCTCACTGCAGTTTTGCAGGGTGTGGGCATGCGGGTTGGCAAGCCAGAAGCAAAGACCTGCGAAGAGCTGGCCTATTTCTGCGGTGAAGAAGCCCCTGAGTGGTTGTTCACGATGGAAGCGCTTTGGCTTCGCAACTCTTGCCCCAGACATTGCGGGTGCACTCAGCCACTGTCATCTCCACTGCTGAAGACTCCTTGGTTTGGCTGCACAAGACAATGCATTCAAGAGTCCTATGGCTTCAGCATGTTCGGATCCAGTCCCCTCTTCGGAAAGCCGCCCAATTTCACGACCGGCTGCAAGGACCAGCTTCCCGGATCTTCTTGGCGCCACTTTTGGGACAACTATTTGCCCATGCTGGACCACTACCACGGCTCTGACTACTTCGCAACAAGACAAGCCTATCTTGAATTTCGTGACTGGGCAAAGGTAGCTGGCTGCCCGGTTATAGCCACACAGCCTCAAGATTTAATGGGCTCCTTGGTGTGCAGAGGTAGCTCACGCTACTTGCCCCTGGCATGGTTTTGCCCAGAGACTTGCGGCTGTAGTGCATCTGGCAACCTTGAGAGAGACCACTTTTGCTTCGCCTACGACTATTGCCCGATGCATGTCATGCCCAATGAGACTGAGCAGGCATGGCAACTTATCAGGAAGTATGATTTGCTGCGGACACTCATGAACCCAGAACTCTTGTTCAATGACGACGCGTGGAATTAAACTGTGATGTACGAGCGACTGGGCAGCCACCCTTTGCCGCTACTATTTTTGAAGAGTGTCTACTTTGTCTGAAATGCAGCTTTTTGAAATGCATGAATTGCATTCACCTTCGCTTTAAATGCCAAAGGCAGACCCATCGTTTCTTTTGTGAATGCAGCAGAAATATTTGCAGAGTTTCTTTTTTGGTTTATATAAACTGATCATAGTTATTCATAGTTGCATGTGTAAAAAAAAAAAACTCTCTCTCTCTCTGTCTTTGCAATATGCATTCACAGTTACATGTTTACATCAACTGCATATGTTATTCAACAAGAAACCTTTTGATGCAGCCAACCAAATCGCATCACCGAATGTAAGCCACTTGAGCATCTCAGGCGCCCAACACCGCGATTCCCCTCGCCTTTTTGGCGGCTGTGGCAACGAAGGACGCCTCCAGACAGTGATGTACTGGCGGAGAACAGTGCCACATCGGTGCAAGTAGGGCACAAAAAGTGAGGTTTTTTATGGTATTAGAGGCTTATGTTTATTCAATGTTATTAATGTATGTTGATTCTCTAGGATTGGTTTCCTCGAATCAAACTGAGGCAGGACAAAAACATCAGAACTACTGTTGACCCACGACAGCTTTCACTTTCTGAAGAAGTCATGGTAACGCAGCTCACGAATCCACGACATACCTCGGCTACCCATCGTGTGTCGTGTGCGAAAGCATCTGGGTCCAAGGAACAGTTACGGAACGACCGAGATGCACCCATGACACGACTAATGGGACTGCCATATATGCCGCCCCATTGGCCCCCAAAACCACTCCAACTGATCGGCATATATGGCATATAATGGAGTGTTTGGGATATAGACAATAATAGAGATTACTAGATTTATCGAGTGGTCACTCGGTCGGCACGTGTTTACCTGGCGTGCACGCAGGAACCTACAATACCAGAACATCAACCTGCTGATTCATCATGGAAAATACATGTACCATCATTTACGGCTCCTGTGTAGGATACGTTCCCAAAGTGGCTGGCAGGGATTGGATTGATCTCTTCAAAACCCAGATTCCTCGTGCCAGGCACCATTAGCACCGTCGCGTGGTGCTCTCCGCCGTGCTCTCCGCGGCCGGCGCAGAAGCTGCGTGGTGCGATTCGCAGAAGAATGGGCTGAGTGGATTGCCCGCACGAACGTGGGCAAGGATGGGACAGATTCCAGGGCCAAAGTCGATAACCCGACAGACCATGCCCCCAAACCAGAACGCGGTCATGCATCTTCAATTGACGGTTGCCAGACGTTTAAAGACTAGAGTTTTGAGAGGGCAAAATCGACATGATGCTAGTTGCTGGAAAAAAGGAACGAGTGCGAACTGTGATATTGGAACTTTTTCTTTTTGACATGAACCTCCCTGTTCGAACCAAACAAGTGAGGGAGAGTCTATGAGTCTAGAATGAGAGGCCTTCAAGGGCTCAAGGGAGCTTGGTCCAGGACTTGTGTTTGGAAAGGACATAATAGGGAAACATATTTGTTGCTGAATTCATGCTATAGAAAGGAGCACGCCAGGACATTAAATTAATCTGAATGGGGACCCTGTCCTCAGTTGTCCTTGTGAACTTGCATAATAGACTTATCGATAGCTATATAGGTAGATAGAGAGATCGATTCCAACGATTTCTTCAATTGGATCAACCGGAAGCACCTCCGGATTTTTCCAGAAAACCGGAAGCATCCGGAAGCACTTCCATGTTTTGACCTGAGTGTAAGTAGTTACTTAATCCCATCTATATAGATGGAAACTGAGACGATGCATGGAACTGAGGCGATTTTCCGTCTTCTAACCTCGAACGCACGGCAGAGACGGAACGCCTGCTTGCCCATCCCTCCTTCCCTTGCCCAGGCCAGCGGCGCGGACGGGTTTCCTGGCTTTCCCAGAGAGCTTCGTGTTTGGCGTGGCCACCTCAGCATATCAGATCGAGGCGCCGCTCGGAGCGGAGCGGCGTCTATCAGACCGGACAGGAGCGGAGGCGTCCTGGACGGCATGATCGGTTGGCGGTACGGAACAGACATCCATCCTTTGGGGTGTCCAAATTGAAGGCAACGAAAGAAACAACTATATATTGATGTTCGTTATGTTTAGAATGCATTCATCTTGAACACATTGACACTGTCACTTTCGCATCCGTTGGGTTCAGGGTACAAGCGCCCGCACATAGGATCGATCCATCAGCAGTCGTGACCCACCTGGAGCCCCACTGGTCGTCCAACACGTGGCGAAGCACCAGGGCTTGGGCTGCGGCGACAGCAAGTTCGCATATCGTTGGTCAAGCAAGGGCTGCACTTATTGCTAGTCATGCTAGTTCCAGGCTGTAAAAAAGCACCTACTCCAAAAAGTCACAGAAACTTTTTTGAGATCAAGTTCCCACTCAGCAAAAGGTTATTCAACCGCTGGTTTAGGTAGAGTTGGTTGGCCCCAAGCAGCTCCACCCTCTCTAACAAGGAATCACGACTGTTCGCAGTTTTCCTTTGTTTAGTTTTGTCAGTGCTTCCATGATAGTAGGTATAGCCCCAGACAGCAGAGGTCCATTCATTGTTTCAGGGGTTTGCGACTCGGTGGTTATTGCATTTCACCCTCCCTGCAACAATGGTGGAAGTGGACAACCCCGTCTTGGAAGAGGAAAGACATCTTCCCTTCGGAGCCAGAACGTCCACGCAACCCCGATTGCTTCAAGGGAGCGGGCTCGCCCCCCCAAATCCAGTCTTTCATCCTCCGCATTCTTCAGATGGTACATGGTACATGTTCCTGGATGTTCTGAAAAGCTGGCGCAGGGCGCAGCGGCGGAGGGACGTGGGCCATCCATTTGGGACACCTTCTCGACTGCGGGGCATGCGAAAGATGGAGCCACAGGCACCTGTCAGACACAATGGGCATGGGCGGGTTTCAGTTGGAGATCCATTCAAGCATGTCAAGTGGTAAGTGTTCCTATGTTTTCCTCTTTTGAGAATCTGAGTGACACACACTTGGACCATGAACCTTTTAAGTTTGTCCGCTGAGAACAGTTGTCAGGTGGATTATAGGTACTTAGAGAATCTTAGAGACGAAGTTGTTGGTAACTGTGTTTCACTTCTGGATACAGCACCAAACAACACCAAGTGGCTCCATCTGCACTAGTTCTCGGAAACGCAGCGCGACATCGCTGAAACACCTCGCGGCGCGCACCGCGAAGAGATGGACCGCATGGGGGACCTGGGTGTTCCCTTTGTGGGGTGATTCCGATGTTCTTCGGACAGTGGAACGGTAGATTGTTGAAGCGCGACGGTTCCGTTGAAAGAAGTCATACACGTCGATGAAGGAACACATCACATGGAAGTGGATGGCACCCGCCTGCTCGTCAAGGAAGGTCTTCCTTTCAGGATCATGCCATGCACTTAACCATGTGATGAGCTTCGTCAGTACTTTAAACCATTTTTCACTGGCACAACTCGACTCAACTCCACGCTTGACGTTGGAATCATCGTTTTCTCGAACAACATCCGAGGTGAGGTGGCATGTGATCACTATCATTTGTTCAAGGACTGAGTTCAGGGGCACGGCCATCAAACGTACGACATACGACATCAAGCCATGAGAGATTTGCATGAACCCGTCACTTTTGCAGGTAGACCTGAACGTGGCAACACTTGCCGGGATTCGGATCCAGGTAGACCAGCTTGGCGAATGGCCTTCAAAACTCTACAGCACTCGAGAATAGCACCCTTTGAGCGAGGCCAGCACGGGTAGCTGAGCTTCCACATGTGTGACCAGCCTGGGAAAGTTCTGCCTTCGAACAGGGTTTCGACTCTGGGCACAGTGTCCTCCACACGCAAAAGAGATTAGCCGCTTAGCTAGCAGCTAAGCTACTTGATCCTCGCCTGATCTTCACGACATATGGAGCACCGGATGTTTTGTAGTTACGGGTTTTTGATGGTTTTTGCCACTCACATGGTGAATAATCAACTCCTAGAAATCGTTTCCGGACAACATACATGCCATGTCCACCCTTTTCGTCTCCAGATCGTCCACCTACTTGCTGCCCACCTGAAGATCGTCCATCCCTTTCACAGCTCAGCCTTGGGATCAGATCTGTTGCCCGCAGCGGTTGTGACGTTTGTTTGAAGGGCCCAATACCCCAATTCCTCTCAGAAACAAAGCATCTTGGAGAAGGGCCCAGAGAAGTTCGGGACAGAAGGAAGACGAACACCTTGAACACTTTGAACTCCCTTCTTCTCAGGTCTCTTCTAGTTGCTTTGCCAAAACCTCATCGAAATCCCGTTCCGGGTTCCATGCGCCAGGGGGCAGTGGACCGACCAAAACTCGGAACGGGAGTGCGACAAGGTAAGGATTCCCGGCATGATCACGTGATCAAACACCATGTTCCGCAGAGAATCCTCGGAATCCTCGGCTGCCAGCCCTGAATTTTCCAGGAGGACATCCGTTTGATGAGCTCCTTGAAGGTGAAGGCCTATCGTTTCTCCATTTCCTGGAGTCGCCTCCTCCCCAACGGCGACGCAGCAGAGCCCCCCAGCGAGGCCGCGAGTGTCCACGGGCGGAACTGGGGCCGATGGCAAGAGTCAGATCACCACAGCATACTTCCAGGATTGCTGCATAGAGGGTCATTCAAACTTGAGATGATCAACATGAGAGTTATCATCAACTTTGGCTCCTGGCTCAGAGAAAGACCTTCACCCGTGGGGAGTCTTTCAGAGACTAAGACTTGAATCATAACACAAGCTAACATCAGGGAAATCATTTAACCACTTTTGAACCTCCGAATCCTTGAGTCGCAGCGGCGACAGTGTTACCCTTCCCCCTCTCTATCCATCCTCTCCTTCCTTTCTCCAGGATGTGTAAGACAGGAAGCTCTTTGCTACGAACGGGGCTCCTGGCCTTACTGCTAGGAACAAGGACGCTACAAACGGGGCTCCTGGCTGTCTCTTCGCTCAGTCCAGGAAGGCCTTCGCTTCTACTCCGAGCTCCTGGACGCCTTGCTCCAAGCAGGCGTGCAGTCGGCCGTGCGTTTCCGACCGGTGACTCCGGGCGGTGCGCTCCGTGGTTCGGTGACGTCGGGGAACACGGATCGTGGAAAAACGCCGCGGTTTGGATGTGTTACTTTTTGGAATTGGTCGAAGGGGTCTTTGTTTCAAGGTCCCATCTGGTTGTGGCAGACTTGCATACCCATTTGGTTGTTGCTTTTGTTGCTGGTCTAAAATACACCGTAAGTATGCGTTTTTTTTTTTTCCGCAAAAAAACCGGCGGTGCTGGCAGACTTGGGTGTGTCCAAATGGGTTGAAGCTGTTCTGGAAAAGAACGGTCCGTCATGTGGGAGGACTCTTTGAACCTTTGACAGTCATGATGTGGGCCACGATGCGGAGCTCGTGTTGCAGGAACTTGACATGTGAGTGACCCTGGAAAAAGAAGAACTCACGTCTCCAAATGCCCTGGTCGCCTGTTCACAGATTTCAGAATGACCTATATTCAAACAACCTCACCCATGTGCAAGAAGCCCTCGCTCGTGAAGATTGGGTTCTGAACACCCATCTTCTCGGGTGTTCTACATTTCACCTCAAGCTGCCCCAGAGGATCCCAGTTAACCAGTTACCGCTATAATCCACTATATAATAAAGAACCAGGGCTTTTAGGTCCATATTAGACATTTTTTGAAACCATCGGTTACCAGCTATAGTTGTAACCAGATGGAGCGCCCTCCAACCAAAAGCCGAGCGCAGCACGGGGCGGTGCTATGCGGTGCTGAAGATCCGCTGTTCGCACTTCTGGCGAAACCACGTTCGTTTGAGACCAAAACCATGCCCTAGCAGTCCAAAGACTCTTTCCTTTGCACCACCAAGGCTACCTGGAAATTCCTGTCGTTTTCCTTAGACTTCCGCTCCAGGTGAGACCATGTGAGACACCCAGCTCCAGGTATTGAGCCATGGGTGACGCTCTATCATTGGGATCTTCCAGAGGCGACCCGCCAGTCGGAGTGGCGACCCACCAGTCGGAGTGCGGTCATCAGGTTGGACGTCACGAGGTTGGACGTGACGAGGTTGGACGCGTGGATTGATTGATTGATTGGTGGTAAGGTGTAAGAATTGGATGATTGATGTGTTGAGATCATTCATTTCTCCTGTTGATTGGATCTGGACGAAACGGGGAAGACATAAATAAGCAACGGTGCACCACCTTCCATGCGAAACAGCGACTGCCAGGCCCTGCATGCCAAAGGCGGCTGGCTTTCCAAGGCTCGAGCGGATTCGTTCGTGCCTTTGATGGATTTCCTGTTGCCGAGCAAAGGAGGCTTCAAAGGCAGCTGAGACAAGCATGGGCAAGTTGGATGGGGCAGAGTCAAGAGGTTGCTTTTTCATGGCCCGACATGAAAAGACGCTTTGCCCTTTTCTGGTCTGTCTATGTGTGAAGCTCCCAGCTCCCAGCAGTAGAATTCTTTTTTAATGTACACTCCCTGCAGTGAATCATCATGGGCCAACGTGGAAGACCACCCGTCGTTTGATCTTCGGTTCGGAACCATGGTCATCCGAAATCGGAGCCATGCCATCCATGGACACGATGAAGACACGGAGAGTGTCAAAGACCTTCGCCTTCGTTCGTACACTTTCTCGAATGATGAAGACTCCCCAGCCGATAAGCGGGTAGACGGTTTCGAGACAGCGTGGCGTCCAAACAGATCAAACAGTCCAAACGCTGTGTTCCTCCGTCCATGGAGATTTTGAGCACTGGTCTCCACGTGTTGGGGGTTGCATTTGGTCATGCGAAGCTCTCGCGTGGAGACCTGCATGAATGGTGATCAGAGGTGAATTCCAGAAGCCCCGGAAGTCTTCACTGCCTGGAAACTCTACAGGTTCTAGATAAAGATGTTTGGGCTGTGGGTCGAAACCAGGATACCTTGCTTGTCCCACCCGGCAGGTTTCACGCTGCATGGTGGGTGGACCAGGGCTCCAGTCTCGGTTGAACGACACTTCTTCAACAGACTGGGTTGGCCATGGTTTCTCCAAGGCAGGCCATGGGGCAATTCTCCAAGGGCCACCAAAAGGGAATATTGAAACCACTTGGCACGGTTGAAATCGGTTGAACGTGAAATCTCAACGCTTCCGAGCTTGTCTTCACGCCCCGAAACAAATCGCTCTCTTTTCTGGCGCCTTTGGGTACGAACGAGGTGATTCTCAGGGAGGTCCAACATACCCTGAATTGCCATGGTCTTTTGGTTGCACGTTGGACCCGGGGGAGAGCGACCCCCCAGTGACCGGAAGAAACTGCCATACTCATTGAGGTATTAACCATGTTTTAACATGTATTAACTGTAATAATTCACATGTCTAGTCCATCAGCCTGCCATAGCCTGCCCCATTCTCCACGTCTTTCGTGTCCGCATCCAGGAGATGATTGTGAAGGCCTTTGGAGACTACGCTCGGAGCTTCGGCAGGGGAGACCCGCCGTGGGCGAGCGGCTGCGGGCGGTTTGGGTCCGAAATGGCGTCAGGGTCGGACCGCAGGTGATCCACTCGGTTTGTGCGAAGCATGTCGAGAAATGCTGAAAAAACACTGCTGGGCCCAGTGTGGCGAAACGAGCCAAGCGAACGAGGGATTGAGGATGAGCAGGAGGTAGAAGTCATCCGTCGCTGTGATCTAGCTTGCAAGTTTGTTTTTATGATGATTGTATATTATTGTGCCCGGCATCCGTCGCTAGTGTTATATATGTTTGTTCTTTGCACCTGGCACAAGAGCCCAAAGTACTGCCAAGCACCGCTTCGCGTTCTTGTGCTGCAACTACTAGCTTCTTGCTCCTAGTAGTAAGGCCAGGAGCCCCTAGTAGCGTCCTTGCTCCTAGTAGCGATGCCAGGAGCCCCTAGGTGCGTCCTTGCTCCTAGTAGCGATGCCAGGAGCCCTTAGTAGCTTCTTGCTCCTAGCAGTAAGGCCAGGAGCCCCAACCACCTGTGTGGACCCTTCTGCGTGCCCAGGATTTGCTTCCATCACTTTGGCGATCGAGTGAAGTACTGGATCACTCTCAATGAGCATCTCGTCGGAGCATGCGCTTCCGAGTTTGCATTAGGTTGGCGGCTATCGCTAGTAGGTGGGAGGTGGGAGGCCATGCCTTCGCTAGTAGGTGGGAGGCCATCGCTTCTAGGTTGGAGGCCATTGCTTCTAGGTTGGAAGCCATTGCTATTGGTTAAGTTTGCAGGCATCATTTGGACTGGGAAGCCTATGCTGCTGAAATAGTAATCATTTCGGTATCCACGCACTTTTGATTCCTCCCAAGCCAACCATGGTTAAGAATGAAATCACTGAGCACTCGAGCATCCAAGGTGGTGGAGAAGACCCGCATGCCCCTGGTTAGAATATGTTAGAATCACGGTCCCGTTGGGTGTCGAGTTCCGCTGGCGAACCGCCCATCGTTTTGCCTCAGGTCGATGGGTCGCTTCACCCGACTCTTGAGAACACCAACGAAGCCTGTTGAGTTTTGGGGGAACCACCTTGAGTGACTCAGTATTCCTCAGCTGCTTTCCTCTCAGGCCCTGGTGCAGTGCTGTCTCTTGGCAAAGAAGGATCTGGACTAGTCAAGGATCTCAACCAGTCATTGCAGCGTTTTTCTTTCCCCAAGTTTTTCACCTGTTGTGAGACTCAATATCTCAAGACGAGGGGATCACATGGGCTCCATCGGGGCTCCATCGGGTGTTCTGATGTGCTGTCCTCACCATGAGGGGTTCAAGATTTTCTGAGTCTTATGGCGATCCCACTTTCCAAGGGTGACTCCAGCAAGATGAAGGCTGGATCTGCCTTCTCTAGAGTCTCAGCGAGGAAACTCTCTTCACGTTCTATGTTTTTGTTGCTTATTTATTTGCAAATATGGGGAGCCTTTGGGGCCCTTGATTTTGGAATCTATTGTCTCCTCTTATTTCGAGGGTGGACCGTAGACCGTAGACGTAGACAATCCATTGCTCCACTTCATGAGCGTGATGCACCCTTGGCCGCATGTGAAGGGTTGGGCATCTATATTTGAAAGGAACCTTTTGCAACCAAAGATCCTCTACATCTGGCTCCCGTCGTATATGATATGAAATGATATGATACGATAGGATGTGAGATGAGATGAGATGCTATGATGATGATGATGATGATGATGATGATGATGATGATGATGATGAT